AATGCTGGACTCGCCTACGTGAAGTCCGAGCTGCAGAAGAGACACACGTGCACTGACCTGGGTGAACTGCGTAGCTACCTTGGCTTGCAGATCACCCGGGACAGAGCACGCCGCACCATTACCCTGACTCAGTCACACATGGTGCAGCAGGTCCTTCAGCGCTTCGGCTTCACGTACTCCTCGCCTCAGGCCACTCCTCTGCCTACTCGCCACTCGCTCTCAGCTCTGCCTTCGGATGAGTCCGTAGAGTCGAGTGGTCCGTTTGCAGAGCTTGTTGGCTGCCTCATGTACCGGATGACCTGCACACGACCTGACCTCGCATACCCTCTTAGCATTCTCGCACGCTTTGTTGCTCCTGGGAGACACCGACCAGAGCACATGGCTGAGGCGAAGAGGGTGTTGCGTTACTTGTGCAGTACGTCGGGCATGGGGCTAGTGCTTGGAGGGCGCAGTCCAGTGGTTCTCACTGGGCACGCAGACGCTTCTTGGGCTGACGACCAGGCTACGCAGCGGTCGTCACAGGGTTACACCTTCAGCCTTGGTTCCGGCTCTGTCTCGTGGCGGGCTACCCGCTCGTCTTCTGTTCTCGGCTCCAGTTGTGAGGCTGAGATCTACGCTGGGGCTATGGCTGCGCAGGAGTTACGCTGGCTCACCTACCTGCTGACCGACCTTGGAGAGCAGCCTCGTTCTCCTCCAGTCCTGTACGTAGACAACAAGGCCATGCTGGCCTTGTGTCGAGAGCAGCGACTGGAGCACAGAACGAAGCACATTGCTCTCCGCTACTTTCTTGCTCGTGAGCTACAGCAGCGTGGACAGTTGCGACTTGCGTACGTGGCCTCTGAGGCCAACACTGCTGATGTCTTCACCAAGGCACTTGCGCCTTGTGATCATCAGCGTTGTTGCACGCAGTTGGGTCTTGTGCCTGTCTTGCCTCACTTGCTCTCCTCTTGACCTTGCTTGTACCTTCGCCTATATATACTCTTGCTCTTGCTTGCTTGACTCTTGTATATCCCTATATATGATCTTGCATGTGAACTGGTCGTCTGGCCTTTGAACTTGTGCTCGGAATGCGTGGTGACTTTGTGATCCACCCCGAGCTTGCTTTGCTTTGCTTTGCTTGACTGGTCTTGTGACCCCTTGTTCTCCCCCACTTTGCCTATGGGGGTGTATCAGAACATATCTATAGCTTATACTATTGTGTAGGCTGTAGTGGGGTATCCCATAGGGGGTACAACCCAGTTAGGGTTTCATATTTGTACTGCCTTCATTCATAGTTCACACATTCTTGTTCATTCAGTTTCACAGTACGGTCACTGCAAAGGGTGTTTTCACGCGACAGATAAAGCGTTTCACGGAATCAGTCACAATCAACTGGTAAAAAAAACGCGAATAGTCACAAATGAAACTCCTGTCAGAATATTATCTTATTGTTCTAGTTTGTAGTGGGGTGCTCTATAGCGAGTACAACCCTTCTAGGGTTTGCTATTTGTATCCCCATTTCTACTAGTTCATTCCTCTTTCTTTCTTCAAACTTTGTCAACTCCCGCCAAAACAAAATGAAACCCAAAAAGAACCTGGATGCGTTTTCGGAAGGTCAACCCTAAATACGTAACTCGTCTGGTGTTAATGTCTGAATCCCAACCACTAGACCATTGGGATAAAAGGGCTTGTTTCAGTAGTGGGTCAGTGCGCTCATAACCCCCAAGGCGAATGCGCATGTAACCCTCTCCAAGATCAATTGGGCATCCACAGTGCACATCTACTAACACCCCCTTACACTGGGAGGCCCAGGACTAAGCACAGCGGCACCGGCCTACATGTGCTTACACCGAGAATCGAACCCGAGACCGCTCTGATACCATGTCAGAATCCCAAACATTAGACCATTGGGATAAAAGGGCTTGTTTCGGTAGCTGGTCAGTGCGCCCATAGCCCCCCAGGCGAACGCGCCTGTAACCCTCTCCAGGATCAATCGGGCATCCACAGTGCAGATCTACTGGCAGTTTATGGTTGATCCGTTTTCAACCCGCATCTGATTCTGATTGGGTTTTGGTTTTTTTAGAAGTTCGCAGATAAGTTGGGCGCGAGCGGGAATTTTGTTGAGTTTCAAGTTTTTTTGGCGAGAGTTTCATGTGTGACCATTCGCGTGATTTCTAACCTGTTGTTAGTCACTTAATCCGTGATCCCGCTTACCGAACCCGTCAGGAAACCCGATACAGTGACCGTACGCGTTTTTTGTTTTTTTTTTTTTAAAACCATTAACGTTATCGAGTCCCAAGTTGGTTACCTGTGGCATATTTTCCCTATTTTTTAACATATTGGATAAGACCCCCGGGTCCTATATAGGCATA